TTGAGCATTAAAGACGGCAGACAAAACTAATATAATTGTCAAAACATCATGGCCTAATTTTTCTTAATTTTATAATTAAGTATGACGTCATGGATCAGAAGCCAATCAGAAGCCTCCAAATGACACTGTTGGCAAAAACTAATAGTGAAATAAAAATTACACACTGTGCTCTCTACTACAGCGCTGTTCACGGAGGAATTTTGAACTATGATGTCATCGTCGCCTCATTTATACCTCCCGTAGGTCAGACCCTAAAATATGAATGGAATTAGTCTGTAATAACTGTTACTATACGAAATATTAATGCAAAAGGTAATTTTATTCCGTAGCCGGTTCATAGTACAGTAGTAATAAAACCCACAAGTATGTCAGGTGAAACTAGTAATATAATGTAATGTAGCTTAGTAGTAATAATTTATCTGCTTGAATTACTAATAGTTGAAACCAGGGCTGGATTTTAAGGGTACAGAGGTGTAACTAGTTATTGGATATCTTACTCTACCTAAAGATCTATGTTAATACTTAGAAGTTTTAATTCAAACTATTTTAGGGTATATTTGTCATTAACGACTAATGCTATTTATCTTACTCCTCTCTGTTTTGCGGATCAAGCCATAAGAACAAGAATATTCTGGGTAGCCGAGTGGTTATAGTGCTCGTCTTCAAATCCGAGGGTTGCTGGTTTAATTCCAGCCTAGATCGTTTTCAGACCCAGGTGCCATTTGTTTTTGGACAAGAATTAAGCTAATTGAGCTTACTTTATAATACTTAACTTTAAAATGTTGACCATACGAATGTAGGTATTTTAAGCCAAGTATGAATTGAAATGAGTGTAGGGTGAGATGCTATATAACAAAAATATCAACCTTAAGTCACAAGACCGGGGTTTGGACCGTTCCCTTTCAAAACGTAAAAATTCCATATGGCGTAGTTCGCAGAAAACACAAATAAATCAAATAAAAGGATTATGTCTATGGGGAGAAGGAGTTGGTGTAATAGTGGATGACAAGGAGGGTGAATTACCACTTCTTCCAGTGGGATTAAACTCAAGTTCTAGAAATCAGGTACTGGTTGAATACCGTATTTGATACACAAAACGGTATCAGTTACCAATTTCAAAAACGACCTTATAGTCCAGTAAATATGTCAAGAAAATAAGGGGTTGCTGTGCAAAAGGCACGGGTAGTTTTGATTTTTGGATATGTTGTTAGTGTTGGGCCCATAACATAAAATCCAAGTTATCCACCTCGAGGTACCACGGCGCTCCACGGGGCGCGCCACTTGTTAACGAAATAGCAAAAATTTGACCATTCCTTTGGTTTTTCAATCTATCTCACGAACGGTTGGTTTTACTGAAAGTATTACTTTATTAAATTAAAGGAGGATAAATTTGTGACAGTTAAGTATAAAGTATTAAGTAGTATTAAGTATTACTTACTTACTTACTGCCGTGGCTCTTGGTACCCAAGGTGGTACTTTGCCTCGCCAACACACTGCCTCCAGATTTTTCTATCCATTTTCCCTTCTTCCCAGTCTTCTTAGGTCTTTTCTAACCTGGTCTCGCCATCTCAACTTGGGCCTTCCTGGTGGTCTTCTGCTTGTTCAAAAGGACGTTCTTGACTAAGGAGTCGTCCTCTTTCCTTAGTAAATGGCCAGCCCATCTCATTCTCCTACCTCTCACCTCGGCCACTATGTCTGGGTCCATATATAATTGCCTCAACTCCGCATTGTGTTTTATCCTCCACTCTCCATCTTCAAAGGTTGGACCATATATTTTTCTCAATATTTTGTTCTTAAATACTATTAAACGTTTTTCTGTTTTTTTACTTAACACCCAATTTTCTGAGCCGTATAACAGAACTGGTCTTAATAATGGTTTTATATATACGGAGTTTTGTTTTGTGTGATGGTATTCGAGAGCTTAATAGTTTGTGGGATGCTGATAAACTTATGTGTGCTGCATTTATTCTTTGTTGTATTTCCATATCTTCTTCATTATTATTCGTCAGCATTACTCCCAAATAAGTGAAGTTGTTTACTTTTTTAAAGTTGTACCCTTCTATTTCTATACTGTTGTCATTGTTTATTTGGGTTGCTCTCCCACACAGTATTAAGTATTAAGTAGTATTAAGTATTAAGTATTGTACCCAAAGCTTAGCTTAAATCTTTTTGTATAAACTTTTGACAGCTTCATTGTCATTAGATTTGAGAAGAGCAGTTTTGCCGTTGAAGGTATATTTTGAAGGTCAATTTTTTGGCTTGTAAACCTACATTTATTGAAACGAGTTCGCGAAGCATGATCGAGCCATGGGAACGGTTGCTTTATGGGGGTTTTATCAGTAAGAACTGATTTTTTTAATTTTTGACCCTTAAAACATTATATTTTGCAATGTTTTTTTAAACCATTTTGTAGAGCTTAGAAAACAAATAATTAAGTAGGCCTACGTAAAATGTTTTTTACAGTTATTGGTTACGGAGAATATTTAAAAAAATGCAAAGTTAAAATCACCATGTTATTTTATGAAGAATATTGTTAACCGTTGTAGTTTTCCTGTTGGGGGATACATTTTTTTTTTAATTGGTAAGTTTATTTGTTTCTTACCATATTTTAATAATTTTAATAAAAAAATATACTTTATCACCCTCCCTATGGCTGCAAACCTAGGTACTCGTTAAACCTAATCTTATTTAAATAGGTTTATGAAAATCAAATCAGGCAAAATAATGGAAAATCGCTTAGTCTACAGGTTTTGCTGTGACGGGAGTATTTTATTCAAACTTTTGGTTTTTTTGTTAATAGCAAATAAACTAGCATACTCACTAAATCCATTCGGTGTTTGCTTCAAACAATTAAACTGTGGAAATATTGGAAAAATCACAATTTTTATACATATTTTATACATATTTATACATATATTTTATACAAATTTATCCTCCTTTAATTTAATAAAGTAATACTTTTAGTAAAAAAACCGTTCACGAGATAGATTGAAAAACCTAAGGAATGGTCAAATTTTTGCTATTTCGTTAACAAGTGGCGCGCCCCGTGGAGCACCGTGGTACCTCGAGGTGGATAACTTGGATTTTTTGTTATGGGCCCAACACTAACAAACATATAAAAAAATCAAAACTACCCAACCTTTTGCATACCGTCATGTCTTATTTTACTGGACTATCTATATATTAATTTGAAACTGTTTTTCTTTGTGACAGCTATTTTGAGAGAACGGCTGGGCGTAGAAACTCGGTAGAGGTGTCTAAAGAAAGATCTTGGTGTGTAGATGAGCCATCAAAAGAGAAACATGGAGAATTCCCTCGGGGCTCTGCCCCAGTGGCCTTTAAATTCCCATCCCATGTTATTCTTATGGAGGAAAACGAGGTTTCTGTCACAGCTAATTTGAGAGAACGGCTGGGCGTAGAAACTTGGTAGGGGTGTCTAAAGAAAGGTATTGGTCTGTAGGAGAGCCCTCAAAAGAGGAACAAGGTAAATTTCCTTGGGGCTCTGCCCCAGAGGCCTTTAAAGTTCACTCTGCAATTTTGTTTACATTTCATCCATATGGATAATTTTACCCTACTTTTAATGAACCAGCTGTTAATATTAAAATTGTATTCAAAGGTCTACTGAAACTGTCAAAATTAAATGTTTACATTATTATTTATGATTTTAAATGGATTCTCCACTGCATGGCAAGTTTTTTTATAGTTTCGACAAAATGATGAATTTATGATACATTTTAAATGTTTTGTTCAAAAAGCTATGCTTTATTGCTCTTAGAAAATTTTAAATTATGAAATAAGTGTGACATATTAATTTCAAAAGAACATATAACTATTCCTTATCGGGTTAGCTTATATATAAGGTTAGCACTTGCCTTTTTTCCTACTTTCAATCACCATTTATTTTTAAATTCAAGAAAGAACACCTGAGATTCATTTATTGGAATAAAAGTTTTTGATAATCGGGTTGAAAATTGTGTCATAGATGAGTACGTTGAGGATGAGAGCTGTGTTCAAGTTTTGGAATAGGCTAACTACGGACTCTATGGTTTTTGGTAAAGTAGGTGAACTAATGTCAATTCAGGTATTTAAAAAAATGTGTAAACGGTTTTTACTTTGATGTACACATGTAGCTCGGTCGAACAACCCATCTAAACCTCACTACATACAAAACATTCGGAAACACAACAGTGTCATCACATCTCATCGCATTTGCATAATTTGTTACAAAGGCTGGACTAGGTTATGGATTTGGTTCCGCAAATGTTCAAGATTAGATAAAATTTCCTACAATTATGGTTAATTCCAATCCACGAAATACATGCACAGCTTTATGTGATCTATATGGCCAAGGCAAAACTACCCCATAAGTTAATGAATCATCAAGTAAGAACAGGATGATTAAATACATGGGTCGATGTGGCAAGAGAAGGAATTAAAATTGCTGAGATCGAAGAAGTAAGAATGTTACTGTTTTCTGGAGAATCAGATATTTTTATCAAACAAAAAAACTGATTTAATATGCTGACAGAATTCTGTATTTTTATGACCAAAGATGACGATTACTTATAAATCCGGATACAATCTGAATGATTTTCCTAAAGCAGATGGAATTAGTGGTTAGTAATAAATATTGACTCTTTCCGTAACATGATAGACTAATTATATGAACTCATTCTCCCATATAGTGGAAGTGGCTTTGGTATGAAACAATCTCATGAACAAACAATTATAAGACTCCTAAAAAACCTTTTGGGCAACCTAAAGCCGATAAAAAGGTAGGAAATATTGTGTTAGCCTAAACGAATTCATCAATCACGTTTTTTAGGGAACACAATCGACATACTTATTATTGCTTATCCTCCCTTCATTAACTAAGATTTTAATGACTTCACTCTATCCATCGCAATTAGCTGAATTTACATAAAACCCCAAGATTAACCGTCGATTTCGACGGGGTTCTACTAGTTATAACATTAGGTTAAAATTCTGTCTTCTTTTAGGTATCAAGTGGACGATACAATCAAAAACAGGACTTCACAGTAGTGATCCAGCCTTTCATAAAGCTGTTCAATGCACCACTGGAGCCTCACCAGAGGTATAAACATGCGATTGACATCTCCTATGTCACTTACGACTGCTTCCACTTCAGCCAGAAGGGCCATGCTATGGGTGAGTGTAATGCGATTACCACCTTGGAAACACTTTGGCATCGAAGAATACAGAATTATGAAGACGCAAAAGACATATAGTAGGATAGGATAGTGGGTCTTCTCTCAGATTATAATCAACAAAGCATAAAGATATGATCATAGATAAAACATACTCCCCGTGTTGCTTAGTCTCGACATGATGTTCGGAAAATGTGTGACATTGATACTAAAAACATTGTTTTATTTTAACATATTGTTTTTATTTTGAACTTTACCAGCATAATCAAAATAAATTATATCAAAATTTAAGTCGCCATTTCATTGAACAGTATTAACAGTATACAACTTACACAACAACACAACATAAATTTTACTCAAGTATTTAATTTAATACTATAGGTATGTAGTCTCAGGTTTGCCAATTGAGCGGGACAAACTAACATGAAAACAAAACATAGAACTGTACAACAAAACAACCGTATTTAGAAAGATTATCTTTCTAAATACAATATTTTATGAAAAAATTATAATAGCAGGGCATATAATAGACTAAGGGGTAAACAAAGTACCCAGTCATATAGGCCACCAAGTGTTGTATAGTTTCTATTGTTTAATAATTAGTGAACTATATACTACAACAAGCCATATGTGTGTGTTCTGCATTTAATTGTATGAACAGTAGATGTAATTTGGCACATTGCAGACTACACTGAAGATCAAGTGTGTGGACGTGCCGATATAAAAAATTGCATGCTGTGCCATGTACATGTATAGTCCTCGCCACCCTAACTTGAGGCAGCCCAAACTGACCTGCAGGGCCATTACCAGCTGGTCCCGCACGACCATTTTAAAATCTTATTAGCGACGCTTCTGTGAACGCCATAGTTCAATATTAACATTAATACAATTATATTCTGATATATTAATTTACACATTTAGGTACATTAATAACATAAATTTAACAAACATTTCTGTTGTTCTGTCCCATCTAGAACAGACAATTTTACGGGTTTTGAGCTATAAACAAAATACCAAGTAACTTAAGTATAAACCGTAAACATTGTCCATTTAAGATGGGACAAATACAGAGATGTTTGTTGAATCAATGCCATTAACGTAAACGAGTAAGTTTATACATCAGATTATAATTTTATTAATGTTATTATTGAACTATGGCGTTCACGCAACCGTCACTAATAAGATTTTAAAAGGGTCGTGCGGGACCAGCCTGGTCAGTTTGCGTGGAGCGCCCAACATGGCAGGGAGCGCTATGCGTTACAACGCTGATATCTCGAAAACGGTAAAAGATAGAACATAGGTTATAACGTCGTTATAATCCTAAATATGTCGACTACAATAATGGTTATTAGGTTCGAGGTCGTATCTCTAATAAAAAGTTATTGTATAAAATATGTAAAAATGGACTATTTGTTGTTTTTTTTACCAAAAGTAGAATTAATTTGTGAGTGTTGCAAGGAAGTAATATCAAATATCTTTGCTGTCAGTTATAATACGGACTGTGGTGATGAAAAATATGCACGTCGCCTACTTTTCAGGTGGTCAAGAACTTGGGGGAGGGGGACAAAGATGCGGAACGCGCTTTTCATTGAAACGACTATATCTCGATAACGGAACAAGATGTAGCATCAGTCAAAACGTTGTTTTAATAATAATAAAAAATGGCCAATAGAAAAGGTTAATAAAAGGTACAAAATTGTATCTTAAGTAATAAAAAAGTTATAACAAAAATATGTTTCACAATATCTACATTAGTACATTATACAGCTATTTTTTTTTCATAGGAACTGTTGATAAATAATAGTGTAATTGGTTAATTACATGACTAACTATTAACTAACGATATGTAATTCCTTATAAGGAAAAATCTATTACTGTATTACGAATACATATTATTTGAAATGTAAAACACAGCCTCCTAACTCCATAATAAAATGAATAATGAAATAAGAAACTGTGTCTGCATTGCAAATGAAATTCTATGCTGCACTTACTGCAAGTGTACAGAATTTTGCAATAATTTTTTAAGAAAATCTGAGTTAATGATCAATGGCGGTCACAATATTCAGAGAGTCTGGATGTATAAGGAATTTTATGTAAGTATTCACTACAATATTATTGCATTTTCGTTATACTTTTAACGTGGTTTCAAGGTTCAAAACATTTGTGCACAACTATTTTAATGTTTTTCAACAATGTTTGACTCGTACTTTGTACTTCATTGTACACTTGCTATATAAATAAAATAATAATAAATAAATAATCAAACAAATAAGATAATAATTAAATATAAAATATGTGTAGAGATATAAAGTCAATGATATAATACTGTAGATCATAGTGTAATTCAATTTTAAATAGAAACATTATAAACTTGACCGTTCTCTAGCATTATTATATAGATTTTTATCAAAGAAAATATTTACAATTTGTTAATATTGCAAGTGCTAAGCTAAATTAAAAAGGAACCAAATATTTAACTCAACAAATAATATGAAACAACCAATGTTTATGTTATGGATAACCGAGAGAATGAAGGGATTTATTGTATTTTTGTATTATAAGTTATTTAAATTTGTAATTATGTTTTTTATTTCATATAACTGTATTTAATAAGAACTTGTTGCATAATCATGTAATAACGTATAACATTATAATTAAAATTGCATTTGTAGTGGTAATTTGTATTATTCATTTGACTACGGTGAAACCCCAAGTATTATACGGAGTTTGGAGGATGTCTTTTACATTTTAAACCATATGTATTTGTAATACAATTTCAATTTGCTCCGCTCACAATGGTAACCTATAGTAAAAGATGTATTTTTAAGAGTTGTTAGCCTCCGGATTACGTTTGAATATTTACAATGGTTTAAATACCTGCATTCAGTAATCCAATATGCTGCTTGTGGCAACTATAGTTTCGTTCATCTATAACACCGCAATCAAAATACTGGATGGGGGAGGAGGAGAGAAGGAATGAATGCGAGCCGGCAGTGATAAGGAGACAATGGCTGACGTCATACCAGTTATCCACTGACCACCAGTTCGAGCTACAACTTCCACCCGGTCGCGTCACCTGTCTCGTGTTCCCGAGTACTCGGTCTTTTTAATGTTAAATGTTTGTGTCAATGTGCGTTTTCGTGTGTTCGTGTTCTTACTGGGTATTCAGTAGATTACTTACCCATCATTTTGGTTTGACATTTGTTACTCCAACACAATTTAAATCACTTTCACTTGTCCTTTTCATTGATAGGTGGCATAACAATGCTTAACAGTATGAAATAGTGCTTGTACTCCTCCCCAAAGCAGAAAGTTTTTAAACATTCTGCAACAGACATGGAAAAATCCAAAAGTTTTATTCGGGCTTACGCAGTCCGCAAGTTGCGGCAAAGCTTTCATTTATGTAATGCATGGCGTTTTGTAGTGTTACTGTTTGTAGAACAGAGAATTTTTCTGCAGAAAATAAAGTTGTCAAATTTCTGCAAAAACTTATACTACATGTTAAGTGTAAGAAAGGGCCATGTGGCCCTAACTTAATCTGTAAAAAATAGTAAAATTGTTTCTAAATAAATAAAAAATTATAAAAAACCAGTCGGGCAGGCTGGGCATTTTGCAGCCCTCCTTGTCTTTCTGCACAATATCCCACATTGTTCTGCTTTGGGGGTACTCATCCTGAGATTACAGTCCATTCTGTTCATTAACACGGATGCATTCGTCACTTTTGTTACAGTCTATTCAAGCAGGAGTGATTTATATAGTAAAAATGTTTTCAATGGAACTATAAACAGTTTCAGGCCATAAAATAAAAACTTTCTTGGACACTGAAAAATGTTCTATTTTTGTTAATTTGTATGTTGTAATATTATTTTGTAGTAAAATGATAATAATAATAGTTCCAAAACCAGCAAGATCAGGTAATTAAAATAAAATTTTAAGAAGTTTTGAAAATTTTCAAATTGTTTTAAATTTTTACCCTTTCAAACAAATTTTAATAGATGTCAGTTTACAGATTTATTTGCTTACAATTTTATCAAAATTGAAAGTGTATACTGTACAAGAGTTATGGTGCCTGCAATTGTAAACTAAATATGTTAATAAATCTAAAATACTGTACCCCCGCCGCAGCAAACCTGCAGACTAAGGGAATTTCAACTTGTCTGATCACATTTTTTACTAAAATATTTCCATAAATAAGACATATTTATTCCCTATTTAAATAACATTAGATTTAACGAGAGCTTAGGTTTGCTGCTACGGGGAAGGTAAAAAGTTTTTTGACCATACGTCAATAGTATAAGGTGAAATAAATAAATTTGCACCAAATTTTATCAATATATATCCATGAAACTACAACAGTTTTCTCCATAAGAATAACATAGGAATTTTCAATTACACTATTTTTGAATTTTCTCTGTGACCGTTAGGCATACAAGAGCGCTTCAATAGACTAAATTATTTCTTTTTTTAAGCTCTACAAAACCGTTTAAAAAGAAATTGCAAAACTTTTTGTTTTTAGGGTCAAAAATGGGAAAATTTCATTTTTACCCCATAAAACCCCCTATTAACCCCCGTTCCCATGGTCCGATTATGCTGGATCGCGAACTCGTTCGAATAAACGTCGGTTTACACGTTTGTAGCAAATTTCATCAAAATCAGATCATTTTTGCTCGAGTTGTCGCGCTAACGGACACATATATATATATAAATATATTAATAAATGAAATGAATAATTAAACATTTAGTACCCTTTTTTTAAGTTATTAATTTATTGAATAAACTTACATGTTTCGGCTCTTAGGCCATGATCACAGTTATGAACAATTAGTAAATAAATAGAAATGTAAATAATAAATAAGTAAATTATCATATGATTTTGGAATTTTGTCTATATAAATATATATATATATATATATATGAATTTGAACGGACGGTGTTTTTGGCCTCAAGGGACCTCAAAATGAAAAATTAAATCGGTTCCGGGTCCAGGTCTTACCATGAGTACTACGGTAATAGCTTATTCCCTATATGGGAAATTCGCTAGAAACAAATAACTGTCACATTTGACTGTCTGATTTGTGTACATAGGTGTGTTGTTAAATGTAGGTCCCATATAGGGAATAAGCTGTAACTGTAGGTCTTAAAGTAAGACCTGGTCCCGTGACCAATTTACTTTTAGCAAATTTCCCATATAGGGAATAAGCTATTACCGTAATACTCATGGCAAGACCTGGACCCGGGACCGATTTACTATTTCGTTTTGAGGTCCCTAGAGGCCAAAAACACCATCCGTTCAAATTCATATATATATATTTATATATGTGTCCGTTAGCGCGATAACTGGAGCAAAAATCATTCGATTTTGATGAAATTTGGTACCAACGTCTAAACCTACGTTTATTCAAACGAGTTCGCGAACCAGCATGATCGGACTATGGGAACAGGGGTTTATGGGGGGTTTTATGGGGTAAAAATTGGTTTTTCCCATTTTTGATCATAAAAACTTAAAATTTAGCATTTTCTTTCTAAACCGTTTTGTAGAGATTAAAAAAACAAATAATTTAGTATATTGAAGCATTATTATGCGCCTAATGGTTACGGAGAAAATTCCAAAAACTGTAAATTTAAAATTCCCATGTTATTCTTATGTAGGATAAGTAAACTGTTCTAGTTTGCTTGTTTATGAACATATTTTGATCAAATTTGGAAAATGCATTTATTTCATACTAAACTATTAACATTTTACAAAAAAACACCTTTTTACCCTCCCTGTTGCAGCAACCTAAGTACTCGTTAAACTAATGTTATTTAAATAGGGAATAAATGTGATATTTTTAAGGAGACATTTTAGTGGAAATCCAATCAAGCAAATAGAAATTCGCTTAGTCTGCAGGTTTGCTGCGGCGGGGGTATTTTGTTTTGAGGTCCCCAGAGGCCAAAAACACCATCCGTTCAAATTCATATGTATATATATATTTATATACAGGGTTAGTAAAAAGCTGTTTTGAGCTCTACAAAAATGGTTTGGAATGATATTGCTAAATTTTATGTTTTAGGTTGAAAAATGGGAAAAACCTATTTTTACCCCATAAAACGCTCCTTAAATCCCTGTTTCCATATTCCGATCATAGTGGTTGCCGAACTCGTTTAAATAAATGTAGGTTTACACCAAATTCATCAAAATCAGATCCTTTTGCTGGAGTTATCGACGGACACATATACAGGGTGAGTTTTAAATGAGTTCCCCCCCCTACTTTTTTCTACATTTCTTGAGATATCAAGTCCGGACCACGTCAGATCATTGTAGAGTATTAAGTACTTCATTTTGACTGGGTATAAATTTTTGGCCGCCATATTGGATACAAAGTTTTTTTTTTCAAATGTAAAGGTAGGGTTGTGACCCATTATTCCAAACTAGAATTTCACGCTGATTACAATGCCGCAAATAGTTTTTGAAAATCTTGATCCGTTTTAAAGTTATAAGGACTTTTTATAACTTTATTTTTTGCCCATTTTAACATTGTGCATTTACAAACTAAGACCATAATCTCAAAATAGTGATAGATAAAGATAAGTATACACCACCATTCATTGTCGACCTATTTTCACTTGGTTATGACGGATGTATTTTTTTTTTGGCCGCCATCTTGGATCCACCATTTTGAAATGTGACAAATTAATTCAAATATGCAGGTGGTGTTGTGACCCATCGTTTTCAACTACCTTTTTATGCTGAACTCAATGCCGCAATCCGTTTTTGGTTATCAAGCTTTCTTGATGAAATATTAAAATTATCTTATTTAAAATTTCAATAATTCAAAAACCAAACATGAAAAACTGATTGCGGCATTGAGTTCAGCATAAAAAAGTAGTTCAAAATGATGGGTCACAACACCACTTTCATATTTAAATTAATTTGTCACATTTCAAAATGGCGGATCCAAGATGGCGGCCGAAAAAAATACATCCGTCATAGCCAAGTGAAAATAGGTCGACAATGAATGGTGGTGTATACTTGTCTTTATCTAGCACTATTTTGAGATTATGGTCTTAGTTTGTAAATGCACAATGTTAAAATGGGCTAAAAATAAAGTTTTAAAAAGTCCTAATAACTTTAGAACAGATCAAGATTTTAAAAAAATAATTGCGGCATTGAAATCAGCGTAAAATTTGGAATAATGGGTCACAACCCTACCTTTACATTTGAAAAAAAAAACTTTGTATCCAAGATGGCGGCCAAAAATTTATACCCAGTCAAAATGAAGTACTTCCTACTCTACAATGATCTGACGTGGTCGGGGGTCGATATCTTAAGAAATGTAGAAATAGTAGGGGGGGGGGGTAGGAACTCATTTAAAAATCACCCTGTATACAGGGTTAGTAAGAAATCTGGAGAACCCCTGTTAATTTTTTAATGGCCCATACTAGAAAAACTTAGCTCGGGAAACCTCGGGCATGTTATGAAGTACTTTTTGGGCATAACCGCCACTTGGTGTACATCCCCAAAATGGGGGATTTTGGGGGAAACTCAAACATCTCAAATTGTAAGACCCATCGAGTGACCCCTCATTTTGAAGGTCCTGGTAAAAGAAAACCAACAACGCAAATTAGAGGTCTCTATCTCAATCCAATAAAAAATGTTAGCCAATTGAAATCCTCAGAAGTTAAATTTAACTTGCACCTTTCAAAGTCTGGAGACCCCCTGTAATTTTGTAACGGCTCATACTAGGAAAACTAAACTCTACACACCTTTATGGCATATTATGAAGTACTTTTTAAGCCTAATTGCTACTTGGTTCCCAAACTCAAAATGGGGGATTTTGGGGCAAACTCAAAAATGTTAAATGTTAAGCCCCATCAAGTTACCCCTCATTTTGAAGGTCGTAATAAAAGAAAACTAACAACGCAAACTAGAAGTCTCTATCTTAACACAGTAAAATATGGCAACCAAATAAATATAAAATTTCAAGTTAATTCTGATTTCTAAAGATTTCAATCAGTTGCCATTTTTTTACTGGATTGAGATAGAGACCTCTAGTTTGCATTGTTAGTTTTTTTTTATCACAACCTTCAAAATGAGAAGTCACTCGATGGGGCTTAACATTTAAAATTTTTGAGATCCCCCAAAATCCCCAATAGTGGGTTTGGGAACCAAGTAACAATTAGGCTCAAAAAGTACTTCATAACATGCCATAAAGGTGTGTAGAGTTTAGTTTTCCTAGTGTGAGCCGTTACAAAATTTACAGAGGGTCTCCAGACTTGGAAAGCTGTAAGTTAAATTTAACTTCTGAGGATTTCAGTTGGCTGCCATTTTTTACTGGATTGAGATAGAGACCTGGTTTTCTTTTACCAGGACCTACAAAATGAGGGGTCACTCGATGGGTCTTACCTTTTTGAGTTTCCCCCAAAATCCCCCATTTTGGGGATGTACACCAAGTGGCAGTTATGCCCAAAAAGTACTTCATAACATGCCCGAGGTGTACCTACCTAGTTAAGTTTTTCTAGTATGGGCCGTTAAAAAATTAACAGGGGGTCTCCAGACTTCTTACTACCCCTGTATATATGTGTCCGTTAGCACGATAACTCGAGCAAAAAGGATCCGATTTTGATGAAGTTTGGTATAAACGTGTAAACCTATATTTATTCAAACGAGTTTGGGAACCACCATGATCATACTATGGAAACAGGGATTTAAGGAGCGTTTAATGGGGTCAAAATGTGGTTCTCTCATTTTTTACCCTTAAAACACAAAATTTATCAATTTTTCTCCAGACCTTTTTAAAGAGCTCAAAAAAAAAAAATGTGTATATAAAAGTGTTTTTGTAAAGCGATTGGTTACGGAGAAAATTCAAAAAATTGTTAATTTTCAATTCCAATGTTATTCTTATGGAGAATATTGGAAAATGTTGTAGTTGGCTTGTTTATGGATACATTTTTTTATCAAACTTGGCGGATTTACTTATTTCATACTAAGCTATTGATATTTTGATAAAATAAACACTTTATTAGTTTTCCTGTAGCAGCTAACCTAGGTAGTCGTAAAACATAAATGATAATTTAATAGATTAATTGAAAATCAATCCAGGCAAATGGAAATTCGCTTAGTCGGTAGGTTTGCTGCAGCGGGGGTATATGACTACTATTGCTGGATTAGATAAGGGGAAATAAAAAAAATTAGTTGTTAATGACACTTATAGCGTTTTTGGTTTTGAGACACCGAGACCCAACTATGTTGAAATTAAGATGACTTGGTAACTGTAACAGTTCACCCAACAAGCAACCAAATTATCGATAATTATTAAAACGTTGCAATATGAAAATCATGACTATTTTGATTTCAGCGGCCAATCTGTTATGGAATAACATGCTAGAGCCTGTTGGTCACAAGACCACAAAGGCCCTGGACTATATGATGGAGAAGTTCTACTGTCCCACAGAGCAAGCTCCCTACATCTTCACCTACAACAACTCAGTGCGCTTCCTAGAAACTGGCCGACAGGACTGACACAAACCAGCATTCTGAATAACAAAGACATTCTTTTCTGTTAAAATCAAAGACATTCTACCATTTGTACATTTGTATATGTAATAAATTGTAAATATATAGTTTAATGAATATGTTTAAGAAATACCATTTGACTTGCTCAAGCTCCAGAAGTACCTTTCTAATATAATAAGTTTCAATAAAGATGTATGTCAAACATATTTTTTGCCACACTTGATGCTATTGGATGGTTTTTGACTGTTGTTTCAATGAATGAAGTGAGTGTGACCCCATGTGTTTCATGGGATCTATTCCAACTGTTGATTTATTCAGTTAAAATATTTAATGTGTGTATTGTGTTAAAGTAAACACAATATAACAACATTCAATAGGTTCTGTACCTACGAGTTTAGGAAAGATAGGGACAAGTTAGGGACATGGAAAGTTAGGGCCAAATAGGGGTTCGACCGGGGGGGAGGGAGAGATCAGCTGAACTAGGCTCTGAAACGACTCTTTTAGAACGAATCATTCTCCTGTTTCAGTTCACAGAGAGCTACAGTAACGGGATTTGACTTCAAAATCATAATTTGAATATTTCCAAACAGTAAACCAGCCATTTTTAACAGTTAATGTTAAACAGGGTGACCACAGAAAATTTGTCATTTATTTCCATGACTTTCCATGACTATCCATGACCATTTACCATTGATTTCCATGACTCACAAACTTTACTCAAAAATTATAATATACATACACACACGAATAATACTGCCAAGAGAAGTTATTTCATAGAATATACTGAAATCTGTATTAACATATAAAAATGGAGTAATACAGTTTGCTGAAATGTGGCATTCAAAATAAGGGAGGAAAAAAGAAAACCCAACCTCCCCGACAGCTGGCCAAGTTCTCTCTCCACATTCATATTTCAAAACTCATAAACTAATACGTAACTGTAATAAATTGAATTGTCGTACATTTGTGAAACAAAAAAAACCTGAAAAATGTGACAATAGTCGGGGTTACGGCTGACTAGAGCATCGAAAAGTTCCCTCAAATCCATCCATCATTGGGGATTTCCATGACTTTCCATGACCTTTTGCCTATTTCCATGACTTTCAATGACCAGAATTTTTTTCCATGAATTTCCATGACTATCCCTAGGTCCGTGAAGTTGGCATACCCATATTAGCGTATCCACTTTTGATCATACCAATCGTTAGTTCTCGATAGTTCCCAAATTTTTTCGTTAGTTCTCAAAAAATAAAAAAGTTATAGCCGATAATAAGTGGGTACGCTAACTTCACACTTCCGGGTTCTAGCGCGCGCCGTTTTCTGATGAGAAATGTTTACATCTATATATCAATCGTTAGTTCTTTGTTAGTCCTCGATAGTTCCCAAATTTTATCGTTAGTTCTCAAAAAATAAAAATGTTACGAGGAATACAAAGTGGGTACGCTAACTTCACAACTATACAATTTCCAGCGGGCACCGTTTTCTGAATATAAATGCTTATATCTATATACCAATCGTTAGTTCTTCGTTAGTTCTCGATAGTTCTCCAATACTTACGTTAGTTCTCAAAAAATAAAAAAGTTACGAAGCATAAAAAGTGGGTACGCCAACTTCACAATTATAGAATTTCCAGTGGGCACAGTTTTCTGAATAAAAATGCTTATATCTATATATCAATCGTTAGTTCTTCGTTAGTCCTCGATAGTACCCAAATTTTATCGTTAGTTCTCAAAAAATAAAAAAAGTTACGAGGCATACAAAGTGGGTACGCTAACTTCACAATTGTACAATTTTCAGCGGGCACAGTTTTTTTACTATAAATGCCTATATCTATATACCAATCGTTAGTTCTTCGTTAGTTCTCGATGGTTTTCCAATATTTACGTTAGTTCTCAAAAAATAAAAAAGTTACGAGGCATACAAAGTGGGTACGCTAACTTCACAACTATACAATTTCCAGCGGGCACAGTTTTCTGATTATAAATGCTTATATCTATATACCAATCGTTAGTTCTTCGTTAGTTCTCGATAGTTCTCCAATATTTACGTTAGTTCTCAAAAAGTAAAAAAGTTACGAAGCATAAAAAGTGGGTACGCCAACTTCACAATTATAGAATTTCCAGCGGGCACAGTTTTCTGAATAAAAATGCTAATATCTATATACCAATCGTTAGTTCTTTGTTAGTTCTCGATAGTTCTCCAATATTTACGTTAGTTCTCAAACAATTAAAAAGTTACGAGGCATACAAAGTGGGTACGCCAACTTCACAATTATAGAATTTCCAGCGGGCACAGTTTTCTGAATAAAAATGCTTATATCTATATACCAATCGTTAGTTCTTTGTTAGTTCTCGATAGTTCTCCAATATTTACGTTAGTTCTCAAAAAATTAAAAAGTTACGAGGCATACAAAGTGGGTTCGCTAACTTCACAACTATACAATTTCCAGCGGGCACCCTTTTCTGACTATAAATGCTTATATCTATATACCAATCGTTAGTTCTTCGTTAGTTCTCGATAGTTCTCCAATATTTACGTTAGTTCTCAAAAAATAAAAAAGTTACGAGGCATACAAAGTGGGTACGCTAACTTCACAACTATACAATTTCCAGCGGGCACCGTTTTCTGACTATAAATGCCTATATATATACAGGGTTAGTAAAAAGTGTGGAGACCCCCTGTTATTTTTTTAACGGCCCATACTAGAAAAACTAAACTCGGCACACCATTATGGCATGTTATGAAGTACTTTTTGGGCATAACCGCCACTTGGTGTTCATCCCCAAAATGGGGGATTTTGGGGAAAACTAAAACATTTTAAATACAAAGACCCATCGAGTGACCCCTCATTTTGAAGGTCCTGGTAAAAGAAAACCAACAACGCAAACTAAAGGTCTTTATCTCAGTTCAGTACAAAATGGCAGCCAATTGAAATTCTCATAAGTTCCCCAATTTTGGGTTTGGGAACCAAGTAACAATTAGGCTCAAAAAGTACTTCATAACATGCCATAAAGGTGTGTAGAGTTTAGTTTTCCTAGTGTGAGCCGTTACAAAATTTACAGAGGGTCTCCAGACTTGGAAAGCTGTAAGTTAAATTTAACTTCTGAGGATTTCAGTTGGCTGCCATTTTTTACTGGATTGAGATAGAGACCTGGTTTTCTTTTACCAGGACCTACAAAATGAGGGGTCACTCGATGGGTCTTACCTTTTTGAGTTTCCCCCAAAATCCCCCATTTTGGGGATGTACACCAAGTGGCAGTTATGCCCAAAAAGTACTTCATAACATGCCCGAGGTGTACCGAGTTAAGTTTTTCTAGTATGGGCCGTTAAAAAATTAACAGGGGGTCTCCAGACTTCTTACTAACCCTGTATATATGTGTCTGTTAGCACGATAACTCTAGCAAAAAGGATCCGATTTTGATGAAGTTTGGTATAAACGTGTAAACCTATATTTATTCAAACGAGTTTGGGAACCACCATGATCGTACTATGGAAACAGGGATTTAAGGAGCGTTTAATGGGGTAAAAATAGGGTTTTCCCATTTTTCAACCTAAAACATAAAATTTTGCAATTTCATTCCAAACCATTTTGTAGCGCTCAAAATAACAAATAATTTAGTACTGTATATTGACGCGTTGTTGTATGCCTAACGGTTACGGGAAAAATTCCAACAAATTTAATTTTGAGAATACCATGTTATTCTTAAGGAGAATAAATTAACTGCTGGAGCGTAATTGTCTATAGACATATTTTAATGAAATTTGGAAAATTTGTTTACTTCATACTAAAGCTTTCAATATTTCATTAACAAAACACCTTTTTGTCTTCCTGTAGCAGCAAGCCTAAGTACTCATTAACATTTATGATATTTAAATGGGAAATAAATCTGACAATTCTAAGGTAATAATTAAGTGGAATTCCAGCCAGGTATATGGAAATTCACTTAGTCTGCAGGTTTGCTGCGGCGGGTGTATTTTTATTTGGTACTATCGACCCTAAAATGAGAAAACAAAGTTGACTTAGTTGATTTTTAGCGAATTTTCTTATAGGGAAATACCTATTACCGTAGGTCTCATGGTAAGACCTAGGCCCGGGACCGATTTACTTTTTCATTTTGATGTCCCCAGAGGCCAAAAACACCATTCGTTCAAATTTTTATAAATGTATAATGTTTTTAGGGTACTGTGGTATTTTGATTTACTTAAAAAGTACATATATATAGGCTATATATATATATGTGTGTACGTTCGGACGATAACTTGAGTAATTTTTGTCCGATTTTGAAAAAAATTTGTTTGAAGGTGTAAGGCGGGATAAACTTGAATGAGTTCGTGAACCAGCATGATCGGACCATGGGAACGGGATTTAACGGGGGGGGGGGGGGGGGGGTGGTTAATGGGGTAAAAATGGGGTTCTCTCATTTTTTACCCTTAAAACACAAAATTTCTCAATTTTTCTCCAGACCTTTTTAAAGAGCTCAAAAAAAAAATTTAGTATATAAAAGTGTTTTTGTAAAGCGATTGGTTACGGAGAAAATTCAAAAAATTGTTAATTTTCAATTCCAATGTTATTCTTATGGAGAATATTGGAAAATGTTGTAGTTGGCTTGTTTATGGATACATTTTTTTATCAAACTTGGCGGATTTACTTATTTCATACTAAGCTATTGATATTTTGATAAAATAAACACTTTATTAGTTTTCCTGTAGCAGCTAACCTAGGTAGTCGTAAAACATAAATGATAATTTAATAGATTAATTGAAAATCAATCCAGGCAAATGGAAATTCGCTTAGTCGGTAGGTTTGCTGCAGCGGGGGTATATGACTACTATTGCTGGATTAGATAAGGGGAAATAAAAATACCCCCGCCGCAGCAAACCTGCAGACTAAGCGAATTTCCATTTGCCTGATTGGATTTAGACTAAAATGTCCCCTTAAAAATATCACATTTATTCCCTATTTAAATAGAATCAGTTTAACACATACTTAGGTTTGCTGCAACAGGGAGGGTAAAAGTGTTTTTTTATGTAAAATGTTAATAGTACTAGTAAGAAATAAAAACATTTTCCAAATTTGGGCAAAATATGTTAATAAACAAGCACACTACAACGGTTTACTTATTCTCCATAAGAATAACATGGGGA